GACAGAGAAAACTAAAATATCACCCGAGATGTAACTGGATGATGTGCTTTCAGAGTGAATGTAAAGGATTGTGTGTTTGTGGTCGTGTGTTTTCTATTATGGAGACCCAGGGTTGGGTCCAGACTTGCTGCTTTGTCACACCAGACTGCCTCACTCACACACTCTCTCACACACACACACACACACACACACACACACACACACACACACACACACACACACACACACACACACACACACACACACACACACACACACACACACACACGGCCTCATTTGTGATAATGCTACAGGTATGGCCATATTTCAAGATGATTAAAAAAACTAAAGATTGTCAACACACATCCTCAGAGCTACTTTTCTTTTCACATATCACAGAAAATGTAGAAATCGCAGCTTTTGGATTTCGATGACATGCACACGAGCTGTGCATTGAGAGGAATCTTAAATGAAGCCCTGCAGCAGGATTTTATGTTTTTCAATCACGAATGGCCAGTTCATCCAAGCTGCAGAGCTCCCCCTCCCTGCCTTCTGAAAGCCAGTGATGCCTGTGTTGATGACAGCCTTCTACAGTAAAACATTGTCTTTCCCATGTCCCAACTAATCAGATTTAAGGAGAAGAAGCAAGGTTTCTTTATGTTTCCGAGTAGTACAAATGAGTGGCTTCAAGTGGGCAAACAAAGTCTTAAGCCAGTCAGTATTTCTTGTTTAAAAGCAAATATTACAGTCAACTGTATTTACACTAATTATAGAATAAGGCCACTTGAATTACACAATTACAGGTTATTGGGATTTTTTTTTGTTCTAGTTTTTAAATATCTGTCAGTGAGATTTGTGGCTCCCCAATCAATTCAATTCAGTTTTCTTTAGTGATCACAGCTTTGGACAAACTGGATCTAATCAAGTCCACAGCCATGCTAGCATCCCCTTTGAGACTGTAGTTAAATTCTAACCTGGCAATGCTTACATGCTAATTAGAAAGTATGTTTACCATTCTCCTAGTCCACCAAGTTCTGCTGAGTTTGATGGGATACCTCGGCCTTAAAGTAAAGTATAAGAAGAATTTGATTTGGGATTTTTGAGCTAGTACAAACATTTGGTTAATCACCAAAGTTATCACAATTCATCCTCTGAGAAATGATTATCTCACTGCCCATATAGTCTTAAGCCTTGGTATGATTTTAACATTTAAGGTGCATAGAAATCCAATCCCCAGTACAGCCGCCTTGAATTAGCTATGGAGACCGAAAGTGTTTTTTTTACCTCTTTTACCTTAAGTGGCCATACGATGAACTCATTTGCATTGTTTGGCACTTCCAGATTGGCTATATTTTCCTCCTCGAGGTAGCCAGTTAAACAATCCACAGATTTTGCGTTCATAGGAACTATTTCTTCAGGAAAACGATATTGATTTTTGTAATGGAATTTGTCTAAGTCTTGGACACAAAAAGTGACAAACCATTCATCCCCATTGGATTGAGTAAAGGCAGAAATCCCAGTGACAGGTATCTAAGAATCTGAAAAAATGTCACTTTCTACTTGGCTCGATACTGACAGGAGTAAGATATGTTTTTTATTACAATTTGGGTGAAGAGACTCTTTAAAGATTGTGCAGTGTTTGGTTTGACATACATCTTCTTGTGCCATTATGATCTTTTCTAAAGAAAATAAGTGTTTTTATGAAGATTCATGCCTAGGTCTTTACTTTGTGTTTGTACACACTCAGCGAGCCGGTGAATCAGGTCAAGCTGAAGTGCTGAGCTGGTCCAGATTAGACAGAGATGAAGAGAGAAGGAGGATGTAACCATAACATTTTACCCATGCTGCTGCTTTTCACTCCTGCTGCAAACCGAACGAGCCTTCACACACAAACTCAACAACATGCCTATTGTAGCCACGACACAGGAGCAGTTAGCGAGCCCATGTAGACAATCAAGGGAAACATCTAGAGCAGCATCTTTAACTGGAGAATCAAAAGTAGGTTTGTGACTATCAGAGGATTGAGGCATTTATAGGGGGAAATAAAGCGGAAACCTTTTTCACATGTTGCCCCAATTAGAATAAAATGTTAGTGAAAATACATTTATACTCGACCACGAGGCCACACAGTGTGCTGTCTGTGTGTATCAGGGCCTCGAGTGTCTTTTAACAGATGTGCCTGAGGACTGAGCGGTGTTTGTTCTGCATATTGAATGGAGTCTAATGAAGGTATTGGTGTAAAATAGCTGGGTAATGGTGTTTTAATAAGAAGGACATGAAACTCTGCCGTGTTACAGTCCTTTCTCTCAGACTGTCTGGCTTTTGCATGCAGTGTTTTTAAAACTCATTAAAACAAATGCCAAAAATATCAAAGTGTGAATTTATTCAAGCCATGTAGTTTCGCATTTCTGAGGCGACGTGCCAAGTATTAAATTAGACAAGGTAGACTTGTGATTGTGGGAGAAAAATAATCTGCAATCAGGGGGACAAGTATGCTAAAAGGCTCTGTGATGCATTGAATATAAAGGATATTGTGTTACTGCAGTGCATGGCAGAATTTAAAGGGGACCTATCATGCAAAATGCACTTTTTGATGTCTTTTATACATAAATATTTGTCCCCTTGGTGTGTCGGGGGACTCACGCAGCGTAAGGAGATAAAACCCTCTCTTTTCCTCCATACCCAAATCTTTTAAAAACGGGGGTACAACGAGCGGATACAGATTTGCTGCCGATATGATGTCAAATCAGCGGCGGACCCACAGAAAGTTGCTATCAGAAACAATGCCTGACGTGTTTGTGGCGTGTAATATGGTCTGTGTTTACATTAGCAAGCCTCGCTAACACTCAGAGCTAACCTGTACTGAAGAGCACGTGTTTAAAAAGCAGGAAATAAAAAAAGAACTCACCTTGTGATAAACCCGCAAGAGAAAAAGCATTTGAGCTCCATACTGTTTCAGAAATAATCCTTGATGTGGTTTAGAACAGGATGGCGTTTTATCACAACCAAATGTAACTTTATCTCCGGTAGAATTCTGATCAGGCATTAGCTCCGCCGCCTCTTTTTCTTTTTCAGGCTAAGGACCCAAAATCCGCATTTCTCTAACAGGGCTGCAAAAGAGGGGTATGAGCAGTATGAGGCATGGCTACAATGGTTGATCTGTTTGTTATTTTAATCAAAAAACTTCCCAGACATGTTTTGTATAGTTATGGCCCTACAATATATTTTTACAATATAGCATAATAGGTCCACTTTAAAGCAAGTTCAGAAGACTTATGATTGAACTGTTGAAGATGTGTGTCCCGAAAGGTCAAAAACGATGCAAATACAAAAACACAAATGCGCCAAAAGGCCAAAACACATGCAAATATAGAAATATCTTCACCAACTTGACGAAACATGCGCAGCGTTTACTAAAAGCGCTGTATAAACAAAACACTGAAAATACTAATCATAAAGTTGGCCAACTGTTCACTATGGAAACTAACCTAAAATGTAAGATTTATTGGCTTATTTTGAAAATGTGATCACATGATTCCTTTCGATATTATTGAAAATCTGCAGTAAGCTAGCTAGTTATCGTAGTAGACCTAGTAATTTCTAATATACCGACCAAACACCTACAATTATGAAACAGGCCAACTGTGAGAGTGACAGTTGGCAAACTTTAAAATCTCAGAACATCAACAATTACTACGGCCCCGGCTGTGTGCATCACCTTTTAGTGTCCCCGTTTCCGTTGTGTTTTGAGCTTCTTGCAGCACTTTAAGTAAACGCTGCGGGTGTTTAGCCAGTTTGTTGAATATTTTCTAAACGCTGTGCATGTGTCGTCAAGTGGGTCAAGACGTTTCTTCATTTGCATGTGTTCTGGCACATCTGGGTTTTTCGTTGCAGCGCGTTTGCTCCCGTAGACCAACCGTATGTTTCAGTGCAGATACACAGTGAATTCAACACAATAACACAGTCAGAAAAGTTAAATGAAACATATTTTTCTTTTATAAAAGATTGAAATAATAGTAGTTAAAATAATAAACTTATTAATTATACCCGCTTTATCAAGAAAATAAATCATTCCAAAAGAATGATAAATAATGCCTCATGTCTGATGTCAATTTTGATTACTTTGCAACAACAATTAACAATATACATATATTGTTCAGAGCACAGGACTTAAAGAGCTGGATGTTTACAATTAGTGGCTTTGGAATGTCATATAACTTTCTAATTAATCATTCATAAATCAAACAGACATTTCATTTAGATTACAATTGAAATGGTGCTGATTATTAACGCCCATGATTAACATAATTTCAAGTTATACATACAAATCAAACTGTCCTTCTTACTTAAAGAAAATCTAAATCTTCCAACCATAACCCCTGTTACAGTATTTCTGATTAGTTTCTGTATCATTTTATTCATACACCCAGATGACTTTAATAGAGTAAACTGCACCACAGCAGACAGACAGTAACTCTGTCACCGTACATGCTATCAAAGACGTCCTGAAGACTATGTGTTCCCTGGCAACAAAAACTGTTTCCAAAAATAGCTGAACCAAATGTAACATGGGAGACATTTAGGCAGCAATACTAGTTATGGTCACTGAAACTACCACAGCCTAAAGGTGCGTTGAGCGTTAATGGAAACAGGTTTGCAAGGAACAATGGCTGTGAAGGCTTTGAGAGAGAACAGGAAAGACTGTCAGAGCAATACATACAGCGACTCTGAAAGGAACAAGTCTAAATAAATGTTGGTTTTGAAGAGAAACGTCTGCATGGCTGCCTCTGTAATCCTGTTGTGTATAGGTGTTTCAGATATGGCAGTAACAGTGACAGGTAGCTCTTTATGAAGACAATCAGTCGGTCCAAGAACACCTCTCCGGACCTGGAGGTGTGGCAGCCAGGATTGTCTCTACAGCGGAAAGAAAAACATACAATCCTGTTTCCCCAGTTTTCGTCTCAGCTGAGGCACTTTTGGTGAGAGACCCATCTCTGCGATTTGCTTGCTTTTTATTTTGACCCTTATTTTTGTCCTGAACGTCTTACACACCCCCCCCCTCCTCGTCTTTGTGATCACACTATATGATAATGACCTTTGCCTTCGTTTTTCTCCAGCTCTCTGTCCTCCTTTCAACTCCACGTCTTGACGCTTGAACAGGACCTCATGCTGCTGCTGTAGTGTCAGCCGGGGGGGGGGTCTTTACGCCCTACTGGGGTTGGGGGACGGCTTTCCTTCGTAGCCGTAGAGGAAAGTGGCCGTGATGACCAACATGGCCCCCACGAAGAACACGCTGTGGACGACAGACGACAAAACCCATCAGCTCGATGTACTTTATTGATCCAAATTTGGGATTTTCTTTTGTCCCAGCAGCATGTAAACAAGGCATTGGACACAATTTGATAATGAAAGGGAGTAAAAAAGAAATATAAACATCTCAGAATAGAAAATAAAACCGAACTTAAAAACTAAGATATATAAATAATGACTGTGAAAGATAAATATCTGAAGGCTATCTGTGAAATATAGACCCTGAAGGGCCAATTACAGCTAACCCAAATAAAAAAGCAGTATATTATTAACATTGAGTGTGCAAGAAATAGCCTATTCAATTAAATATCAATGCACAGTGTGAAGAAATGATATACAGATGGACGGATTATGATTTTGAATGTAAAAGTGTCCAGTTATCGAAGCAACATAAAAGAAACGATGGAGCTGTGAGTTGTCTGCCAGCCAGAGGTGATTTGTCAAACAGAGAAGGAAGAAAGTAAATGAGTGGGTGCTTCCTTTACCCAGTGGGCTCGAAGTCCTGTAGCCAGAAGTAGGATATAAGCGTTGACAGGATGATGGAGAGCGATGTTGCGAAGCCCTTCAGGATATTGTCTGCGTACTTGATGACCGCTGCTATGACCAGACCACCCAGCGCCTGGAGAAAAAACAAACACACGGACGCAGATGGACGAAAGCATGAGCGGGCCGAGAGGGCCTCTGATCCATGAAAAGAAGAGTGTGTTACCCCAGAGGCTGGATGTTAGATCTGACAGTTTGGTGAGGGAAAACATATCGTGAGCGTTACCTGCAGCACTACAACGGCCCAGGTGACGGTGTTGTATCCCTGGAACATCCCCGACTCCCTCACCCTCTCTCCATCGTAGGCCATCATCCCAAAGAGGCCAAACACCAGGCCGAACATCCCTGGAAAACACACACAAACATCATTAAGTGAGCTGAAGATCTGTCTAAAGATATCATCCCGAAGTCATCAGAATAATACTATTACAATATGGTCAAAGGATAGGGAAGGTCATGTTTTTTCATTGGCTGAAACTGTCACTTTATCCCAACAAAATTAGAGGTTTTCCCCCCAAATGAAGACAAAATCAAATCAAAAACTTCTATCTAGATCCATATTGGATCACCGCTGCCTGGTTTGACAGTTTGCCGTTAATAACTCCTGGCTCTGTCTGATTGATTATTTCCTTTGTGTGCGCTGATTTTTACAAACTAAATGATCTGTTCTCATGCACTATTCTCAGGAGCATACAGTGACAGTTAAGGCAAATATGATCAAAGTAATTTTGTCTCTCTTTAACAAAGAGAAAGAAAATCCAACATTGCTGTGTATTTGAACAGCACACAGGGCTGCATGCAAGTAAAGCCTGCAAGCAAATTAACATTTGTTAATGAGTTGGTCCTTGCGCCTGGCCAAGGAATATTCAGCACATAACCAAAACAAACACACCTTTTCATTTCACATTTTGGTTGAGTACCGATTAAACAAACAACTTTCTGTCTTTACACTAAAGAAGGTTTAACAGTCTCCTGGCTCTAGCTTCATATTCACGGCCCGTCCACACAGCGGCGTGGGTTGAAGCTTGCCGGTGAGCTTGTCTGAAACTCAACCAACAACCAATCACATGAATCTCCCGCCCCTGACACACAAGCAGCAGTTTGATTGGCTAGAGCTTGTACTGGCATATGATTCGATTGGCTGACGCTTCTGCCGAGGCTTCAAAAGTTGAACATTACTCAACTTTTGCAGCGAGCCACGCCAGCAAAGCTCCGCTTCCCACAATGCAGTTCGGCGAAAAGTGACGTCACCCCATTCAAAGTGAATGGTGAAGCTTTCAACCGCTGTGTGGACGGGCCGTAAGGGTACCTCTTTCAAGGGTTACTTTATATTGCCTAATTTGTCTTTACAACACATCAAAGCCCAAATATATCCACTAACAATCATATGAAATAAGACACATGGCTGGCATTTAACTTGTCAAATGACTTTAACAATAGGATTATAAAAATGATTCAACCAAGAGTTTTAGCATTTATTCCCCATGTCCTTTATCATTTTTCTTGAAGCACTCTTTTTAACAGAAACAACAACAAGCCACACAGCATTTTCCTCCCTGCTCTCGTTGCAGATCTAGGCTCCAACCCTCATTGCAGGTGAAAAAGCTCCAAGCTCACACCAGGAATCGTAGGAGACTTAACACATGCCTCACGCGCTCCAGGGTAAAAATAAACTAGACAGGAACATTCATCTTAACAGAAACACATCGGAGGTAAAAAGCCCAGCTGGCTCTCTGCGCGGGGAAGAAATGAAACGCACAAAAGCTCTCTTCAGAAACACAGAGGTATTTTCAACAACATCTCACTACAGAGTTACTTTGTTGACGGACATGCATTGATTAAACATCATACACTCACATTTCCTCTGTGAGAACATGGTATATGGATCAGACTGATGGAGGGACACTGACCTAGCTGGATGTTGCGCACCCAGACGCTCTGCTTGCTCTCCTTCAGGATCTTCTCAAAGTAAACCCCAGCGAAGCCACTGGAGCAGCAGGCCACCAGGACGGCTGCCACACCGACAAACTGGGAGCCTGCAGAGACCTCCTTCTCGGGGCCCGCCATAGACTCAGAGGGCCACTGCAAACACAAGAGGAACACTCGGGTTGTAATACACCTCAATTCTAAGAGATCACTTATGAGCTTGGAAAGGCTAGTTAGAAACAAAGGTACATTTAATTGTTTTTTCAAATGGGATAGCTAAGTTGCCAAAACAGACATATTAAAATTAAAATCCATCGGGAAAGCTAGACGGTTGACTCTAACAGGCAGAATGTGTAGGATTTACCGACAAATATTATGTAGCCTATAGACTCAAATACAAAAACAATCCCCTTTAGTCATTTTACATGAATTCTGCCTGTATTTAACAGGGTTTGGGATGTTTTTGAGTTTTTGGAATGTGTGTTTATGAACTGCTCCCGACAAATGCTACTCATTCTGACTTTAAAAGTTAAAAAAAAGTATATATAAAAAGGGCATAATACTGAGCTAAGAGTGATCAGAAGTTAATAAAAGAATAGAAATATGCAGTAACAACAAAATAATATACTGTTTTCCACTTCTTCCAGTTAGTACAAAATGTAGCATATACTAGCTAGATTTATACTTAAATGGAAGTTATGAGGGAGGTATCAATTCTTTCACTTTGCTTCAGGCAAGAATTTGGATGAGCAAATTTGCCAATTAATAAACATTTCTAAGAATAAAGAGCAGTTTCTATTAAAAATGTCCTGTATTGCCCAATGACTAAGTATCTAAGTTCCCATTAAATGTCTACACGCATGCACTTAATAAGGTCTGCACCCTCTGTAATGGTGAACAATAAAACGCTCTTAGAAGCCGGACTGCTGGGTGACTCAATTTCATACAAATGCATCTTCACAGCTTTGCCAAGTTGTAAAAGTGCTGCAGAGCGTTATGTGCTGCAGTAAGCAGGAAATTGGGTGCAAAAAAAAAGATGATTATTGTTGTGCGTAGTAAGAAAAATATTGTAGCTACTGCACTTTTCCTTTGGATAAAAACACAAAATATCCACACAAGTCCGAGCCATTCTTTAAAAAGAGATATTTTCAGTATGTTAACAACTTTTGGAACAAGATGCCTGCCTCCTCTTTACCCCCTCGAGTCGCCAAAACAAACCCAGCTGAGTGAGAAGTAACAACAGAAACCTTGAAAATGAAGTGAAAAGGAAATGTTGTAAATCAAAATAGGCCAACTATTTCTTAGCATGCCACCCCATAGACCCTCCAGAAAAACGTGGGCAAAAATCCTTGATTATGCGATTAAACATGCAGGGTTTTTATGTGATTTTATGCGGTGAAATTGCGAAATATGCGGAAAGTTGGGAAATATGCTAAATATGCGGGAAAAAAGAATAACAATTTTTTTAAATATTGGGCTGTCTTATTTATTCTCTCTCACACACAACCTGCCACTAACGTTAAACCCCTTTACTATTCAATTAAACAAATTCAAGTTTATTTATTGTAAAAGCAATTGGGCTATTTTAATCTCACACACACACACCACCTGTGAAAATACTAACTGACTGGTATTTTCTTTGTTTTCCTAAGGAGGCGGAGGTGATATCACAACAGTCTCTTGTTACCGACACATTCACAAACTCGTCCCTCATAGCGAGCAGTGGCCAATATTTATTCAGAGATCCAGTTCAGGCCTCTTAATTAGGTTTTTATTTTTCTAACCACATAACTCCCACTGAGATTTATTTCTATATCAGGCCACTAGAAGAAATAAGAGCTTGCTGTAATTAATTAAAAACACAAACTAGGCAAGCTTCCAGTACAGAGCTGAGCTAATGCTTAATTAAACAAAGTATAGGATTGGCTATATCTCTTTCTTCTTAAGATGTAAAGGGTATTTATGACATGGTGTCTCTAAAGCCTTCAGCAGTAGAGGAATAATGCTGTAAATGACCTTATGAAATCTACATCTGGCCAGATTGAACTAAAACTATTTCCAGCTGAGGAATGCATAGTCCTTTTTTTTTTAAACCGAGTAGCCTTCCAAAGTCTATAAAAAGAGAAAATACCCACTGCAACTATCCAGATCTCAAGGATACATCTTCAAACGTCTTACTAGGGCTGCTCANATTAGTCGTATTTTAAATCGCGATTACGGCTTGCAACGATAACGAAAACAACATCATCTAAATAAAATGATTTTTTTTGTATTATTACTTTTTTTTTTTTTTTTCAGTTGAATTATACTTAAAGTTCAGGGTAATCAACTGTTAAAAACATACTGTTCACATTTTTTCTCTCCAATAAATGGATGTTTTCAAAGTCAATGAATAATCGCATTTAATAATCGCAATTACAATTATTGAACCAAATAATCGAGATTATGATTTTTGCCATAATCGAGCAGCCCTACGTATTACAGCGCAAATCGCAAATATATTGAGTTTACAATCATATAAAAACCACATTTGGGTAACATTGGATGTAAGAGGATAAGGATTACACTGAATGTATAGTAGTAACTATTTTAGAGGATGAATAGCTTAAGACTGCATCATAACTCTGGAACAAAAGGGCCCTAGATCATACAATACATGTTCCTAGACTTATAGGATGTGTTCTCACAGTTATTTCAACATTAGGAGAAACCAGAGAGGATGTTCCGCGGGCTATTTCAAGATGACGGTGAAATATTGTGATCTCAATTTCAACAAGGTGGAAAAGGAAAAGTAGAAGCTGTACTGGACCTGCACAAAAGCCACTCCAGCCATGAGGATGAGCAGCGAGAGCCACTGGTATACGCCCAGCCTGCGTCCCAGCATGGACACGGAGAACAGAGCCGTGGTGAGGATCTTCAGCTGATACGTCACCTGATGGAGACAACGGGGGGGGGAAACTGCCATCAACAAGGATGTGCGGATTGCTGAATGTCTCAGAAAGACACATCAGCACCTGTGTGTGGTACACTGAGTCATGCTGTGAGTTATTTATGTCTTGATACGCCTTCTCCTCAGACCCAAGCGGCCCGGCTGTACCTGGTAGGTGGCAGCGTCAAGGTTGGACAGGGCGACGTACAGCAGGTTGTTCTGCAGCGTGTAGATCCCCGAGGGAATCGCCAGCTTCAGCGTCTCAATGGGTTTATTGGCAATTTCCTGACGCAGAATGCTGTTCAGAGCTCGCCAGCTATAACCTAAAGACAGGAAAAACAATTACCGATCAGGGACGGCAAACTTTTTTAGATTGAGACCCAAAAAAGAAATGTGCCATCTCACAGGGACCTACAGATCAAAAAATATCATGATTTAAAAAATGTATATGACATTTTTTATTTACAGAATAATAAAAATATACATCAAAGCAATACTGTTCTTAAACATTTAGTTAACACACTCTCCTTTCTATTTATATCCCTCTGAACTCTCCATTTCTAACCCTTTTACTTTGTCTCTCATCTATCTATCTTGGACCTTTACATGTCTGAATTGTCATACTTACGCAAAGATGACAAAGCAGTGTGTTGTAAGTAAAGTTTTTACTTTGTTGTTTTCGATGTACTCGTAGTAGAAGTGGTTTGTAGTGCAGAACACTATATCTTTCTGAAGTAATAGTAGTTCAATGGCTATATGGTATTGTTTTAAAAAAAGAAGAAGCTGTACCTGTGTAGAATAACATCCAATGTCAGTCTAGGTTTCAGATCTGAGGGGCTTCCAGGTTTAACATTATTTAGTAAATAGCTTTTTGCAGTAGGAAAGGTGTAAATCAAATATAAGGAAATGCCCCGTCTTAGATTTCTGTTATTGAAATCTAGCTATTTTCTGTATTCACCAGACTGTTCCAGCTGTTTTATTACATGCCTTTACCCACTTAGTCATTATGTTACCTCAACTAATGATCTATCTATACAGTATATCAAACTCTTCATTGTGTTGATTCAAAATCCTTTAGAAATATCGTGATACTTTCTTTATTCTCAAGTGAGGAGGTGGTTTGGTGATATCTGCGTTGTGTTGGTGTTCACTCACTGTGCTCTTTAAAGACGAGCAGCACACAGGTAAAGATCTTCATGACCTCAGCCACCACCACGGCGGAGGAGGCCAGATACCGCGGGCCGTCCGCCTGCAGGGTGCGGGAGTACCGCATGGTGAGCACCAGAGAGGTGGTCTGGAACACCAGCACGCCCAGAGAGAGGTACTTCAGCCGGGTAGAGGCCATGGCCACAGGTCGGTGTGAGGCTGGACACAGAAAAAGGTAACAGGACAAAGTCCAAGTCAAATGTTAGGTTAAGTGTAAGCTTAGCAAAGTCAGGATTTGAGGATATTTAGGGGAAAAAATTGGGTAATACTCACTGAGCAAACAATGCTGAGAAGAGAAGTCGCAGTTGGCTCGTATCCAATGGCGCTTTAAAAGCAACTTTACAGATAGTAGATATGCGTCTCTACATATAGTAACCCCGTCTTTAGGGTTGAATCGCCGGGTGGTGTGTGTCCTCAGCAGGTGTCTCACAGACCAGGTACTGGAGGCTGAACCCAGCTGTCAAAACAGCAGCATTTCAAGTCCATTGACCCGCACTGATATCCGCCGTCTGCTGCTGATAGCTGCGCGTTATCTTATCAGTGTTTCTGCACCACCGGCTCCATCTTTTACCGCCATTACGGTGTGACTTACCACAGAGGAAGGAGGAAACTATGCATAGAAAGTCTACAGAAGGATAGCAAATCTCATCCATGTGAAAAAATATCCAAATCCTGGATGACTTCCGTGTACAGGTTTCTTCTTCGTGTGTTTGGTTAAAGCTTCCTGCGCGAACCACTGCCCCCTGCTGGACTGGTAATTAAGTTAAAGATATTAGATGTTAAGGTAGTAGTGGAAAATAATTCAGTATACTGAAAGTACTGTACTTAAATGCAATTTAAAATACTAATTTGAGTTTTTTTTGTATTCTATGCTGATTTGTATTCCTATCTCTAGGCAAGGCAAGGCAAGTTTATTTATATAGCACATTTTAACACAAGGCAATTCAAAGTGCTTCACAAAAATGCAAGACAATAATAGCATTTAAGAAACATATTATGAAATGATATCTAAAAACACTCATTTAAAAGCAATGATATAAAATGGCATTTAAAAACACTCATTTAAAAGCAAATATACATGAATCACAGTTACAGTGCAGTGTGAGATACACACATCTGAACGAACCCCCTTTTGGAAAATTATAATCTGACCCCATGGTACCTTTTAGTTTTCGCCGAAACTATTTCTCTTTTTTATTTTTAAATGCACATAGTTAAGTTTACCTTGTCTTTCTAGGACTTTTTTGGTATCCTCCGTAAACCAGGGTCTTGAAACCAAAACTATTTTCTGTACCCCATGGTACCTTTTTAGTTTTTGCCAAAACTATTCCTCTTTTCTTTAAATGCACATTAGTTAAGTTTAAGTTGTCTTTTCTAGGACTTTTTTGGTGTCCTCTGCGAACCAGGGTCTTGAAACCAAAACGGCACATGCAGGGGACTTTAACCCCAATAATGACTTTAACTACCTTTGGGGGGACAAGGCAATTCAAAGTGCTTCACAAAAATGAAAGACATTAAGAAAATGGCATTAA